GCCTTGTGATTGGAAGGTCGCTGGTTCGATCCCCTGAGCCGACAGGACATGACTTAAGTGCCCTTGAGCAAGGCACCTAACCCCCAACTGCTCCCCGGGCACTGTGGATAGGGCTGCCCACCGCTCTGGGCAAGTGTGCTCACTGCCCCCTGGTGTGTGTGTTCACTAGTGTGCATGTATGTGGGTGTGTCCCTGCACAGATGGGTTACGTGCGGAGGTCTGATGTCTCTGTGTGCAAACACAGTTGGTCAGTGGTTCTGAATTCTAATTCTAATGTAAATTCTCATTTGTGAAGATTTTAATATATGAAGATTTTAGCATGTATTGCATGGGTGACTATTTACTTCCAGTGTTCGTTAACACTGCTAGCTTACTGGCTCCAATTCTAAACTAAAGAAGCAAAACTTGGACACCAAAAATGTCTTTGCATGACTGCATTTGGAGTAAGTAGAAAATCATGTAAATTAGATTTCTGGCTAAACTTTTCCTTTAAAGATGCCGCAGACAGAGACTAGGTTGAAAAGCACAAATTTTCCTTTAAGAATCAAATTGGCAACTGAAGAAAGACACGTTTACTGTCACATCTGCAGTGAACAGCACATGCCTCGGGGAAGAGCTGCCTCTGAAGGTGAGAGACAGATAGAAGACCATTGTTTGCTTTAAGTCCAGTGTCAGCCGAGGTTGTCCTCCCAGATATCTGTGCAGCTGGTGTCCTGAAAGGGGGTCGCGGGGACAGAAGGACAGAAGAGCACAGCTGCAACACAAACATCCCAGCATGCAGTGGAAGAACTCGAGGAGCGGACTGGACCAGAGTTCACTGCAGTCACGCTCTTCTCTCTCTGCTGCCTCGCACTGAGACCCTGTGAGGCTGACTCACTGGAGGAGAGCTAACAGAAGACAGGAATGTGGAGCTGTACTCGCAAAGTGCTGAAACGTGGCTCGTATATTTGGTTAGAAAGAGAATGAAAGGAGACCAGCCTGGAAAGAAAGGACGAGAGAAAAGCTGAAAAAATAACTTAAATTATTTATAAGACACATTATAGAGGAAAAGAGGAATTCCATGAAATTTTTCAAAATTTCTATATGAGTAAAAGTTTAAGACGTAAACAAACTCTTTCAGAGAGGTTTGGTGTGAAATGCTCTGTTCTAGAGAAACTTACAGAGACAAAACTGTTCACAGTGGTGGTGATAGGAACCAGAAGTGTTTAATGCCTCTAAAAGCTCCTTCACAGAAAATTATTACATGTAATTATTATGAAAACTTTGATGTCTGAGACTTTGTTTTATGTTCATTTTCATTTTGCGATAGGATTTTGGCCTTAAACATGATATTTTTAAATCTGAAGTGGTTATGCAGGCCGTTGTGAGGCAAAATAGTCCCTAAAGAAAAGATATTTTTATTTATATTTACCTCTATTTTATCATCATCAACATTACATAAAACTCAGAAGACATGTAGGTTCACTGGTGTGATTAGTACATAATATGGATACATTTCTGTGGTCTGTAAGTTTCTCTAGAACTGAGCAATTCAACTCTGAATGACTCTGTTTACATCTCAAAAATTAAATTAGGCAGATTTGAAAAGATTTGTGGAATTTCCCTTTAATTATATTACATGCACTGTTTTTAACTCTTATAAACCCATACGTTGATTTTATGTATTTTCTATTTTTTTTCTTTTTGAAACTCTTTTAGGAATCCACTAACACACATTTTCCTGTAACAAAATCGCAAACTTTTTGAAAGGTATGACAGATTATGGAATTTCCTAGCATTTTTTAAATTTAATATTAGTGAGTTTAGGAAAAAACTAAGTTATAAGTTAATGTAACATAATTTTATTCTAAGTCATTTTGGATCATTTCTATTGGTCAGGTCATCATGAAATCTTTTTACATTCTGTTAAAAAATGAAAAATGACAGAAATGGAGAGTGTGTTCTCTGTAGATGGTGTGTTAACTTATTTTCATCTAGAAAATCAATACGTTATTTGACCAGGGGTGCCCAAACTTTTGCATGTAACTGTATATTATGATTAATACCATAATAAAAATTATTTATTCAAGAAATAACTGACAGAGTGGTTTATACATCAGGGTAACGCTTTATTTGAACAGTCCACTTCAGATGCTTTGTAGATACCTAATTTACTTTCAAGCTACATTCAACTAAATATCTACTAAATTCACCATAATTGTCTTTAAACCTGCTCTAATCCTAACTCTAACCTTAACCTCAATCCTAAACCTAAACCCAGCCCTGGTCCAAATCCGTTTGTTAACAATTTGGACGTCTGTAAAGAATCTATAGGGGTCTATAGTGGACTATCCAAATAAAGTGAGACCTGCATCAGCTGTTATTCTTTTCAAATGTAAACACAGCATTTTGAAATTAAACTCTATATGTTTTGTAGTATGAATTTAGACGCAATAAACTTGCAAAAAAGATGCATTTTCACAAAGTTCCTGCCCCGATACACCCGATCCAACTCAAAAAGGGCTTGAAAATGAGCTGGATCAGGTGTTTTGGGCTGTGGAATAATTTAAAATGTGCAGACTGGATTTGGACCCTTTGTCTGTAATGGGGTCAGTGTGTGAATAACGCTAAAACTGCTAAAACATTCACAGAAATAGGCTAATATTTCTGCTTACACATCGTTTGTTGTCATTTTTTCATCCCTAAACATGTTAGAGATCAGCAAAAAATATTACAGGTCAATTATTTACTGCTCCAAAACAGAAAAAAGGACATCAGCTGGACACCAAGTTGTTTAAATCTGGCATTCTGAGAAATTTAGACTGTTAATCTGTTTGTTATGATACGGTTTAGACTGTGGACTGCTGGGAAATGTATTTTTAATGACATTTAGTCAGAACTAGGCAGTAAATAGAGTGCTTTAAACAACAACAGAGGGTCTGTGAGGGTTAATGTTATGCAGTTCTCTGCTGATCAGCCAGAAGTATAAGCATTCCTATAGGACATTTATTATAAAAGTGGACTGCAGGTAAGATTTACTCTTACTCGGCTATGTAAACACAGCAGGCCGGGTTTTGGCTCCAGCGAGGCTTTGCTTATCTTAAAGAGGAATGACTGCTGTGGTCTAAGTGGGTGTGTCACCAATTTTACAGGTTCTTCTGGTTTTACGGCACCTGCTGTGACCAAAGTTTGGCCACTGACAGCAGATATGACCATAAATCTGATAGGGGTTTAAACATGCCTTCTTAGAATTACAGTCTCTTTAAAGGAACCGATGACTGCTTTAGATGGGTTAAAGGTCAAGGAAATAATGAGAGCACAAGTTCTGTTGCACATAAAGTACAAAACAACTGAGCTTCATTACAAAGAGAAACCGATTCCAGTTCAGGAAGACTATACGCTCAAGAGACAGGCTAGATTTCCTTCAAATTATTTCTTTATTATCTAGACGTCTCTCTCACGTTACAGTCGTGTTTATAATTGGTTAGTGTTCAGAGCTTTAATCGTTCATCAAGAAATAAAAAAAATCCAATTATATTTTGATCCTAAAGATGTTTTTGAGTCATTCATTCCAGTATCTTTTGCTGAACTTGTAATCTACCACTAATATCTATGTTCCTGGAATTTCAGAGGAGGAAACGCCAATTTATCCAGAAGCTGGCAGGTCACCATGGATTTCCATGGAAAAAAAATATGCAAAATTTTAAAGCTGTACTTAAAATAGGTTTTTAGATATGAGTCTTTAAAGGGCCCATTATACTACTTTTTTTGTGGTTCGCTAAGGATGTTTGCATCTGATACATCAAGGTCTGATATATGAAAAAAAGCCATAATTCATTCTTAATTAACCACTGTCCAACCTCTCTTTATCCCTTACAAGAAAACAGGCTGTTTTTGATACTGTGCCTTCATGTAAATGAGCTCTGTTCTGAGTGGCTGCCCTGTACTGTGCCTCATTCAAACTAAACTGCCATAGGCTGAATAGGTGGGTTTGTAAATGTGTTGGTTTTCATGAGATCACAAAAATATATCCATATGTAAACTCTGGATTGGGGGGTCGATGATAGCTTTTGAAAATCTAACAATGTTTACATATTACATCAGGCTCATTTAAAATGCATTTTACCACAATATGAACCATTTAAAGTTGCCAAAAGCATTTTAAACTTCTAACGGAATGATGTAACCGAGCTGAAATATTAACCAGGTATAAAACACGAAGCCAAGAACGATGTTTTAAATTAAACCAGCTGGTTTCATGTTAATAAACTCCCAAAACAAGTTTATTATTGGAGGGTGTATCAGAGCATAAAATCCGTTTTTCTGTCTTTTAACAGTTCAACCCAGTTCAATAATTCTTAAAAAAAGAGATAAATAAAATCACATAACTAAAAAAAAAACTATTTGGAGCACAATTTTGAAATTTTGCATGGTTGCATAACTTAAGTTTTAGCTTTTCTTGTGGGAAGAAAAAAAACCTTTGATGTGATCAAAGTGAGTTTGGTGTGCAATAACCCAATTATTACTCATATTGCTGTCAGACAAAAACCTCATCTCCAAAATGGTAACTTTTCAGGAGAATGAAAAAACAATTATAATACCATTATTATATAATTATAATGTAATAATATTTTGGAGTCTTTCTATTGTTCTATTCATCAGGAAATGTTCAAATAACACACAGGAGAGCTGGTGGTTTTCAAATGATATCATCACTGTCCAAGGAAAAACAAGTGTCTCTACAACAGCAGCTTTACAGCAGAGGGCAAAATGTTCTTAACTTTTAACGTAAGTCAAAAAAATATTTTTTTCAAAGCAGTTTTAGAGCATTTCTACTGGTCCATTTACTATAATTTTTTCACACAATATAAAGAACAGCTGCTGTGCTCAAATGATAGACATGTAAAAAAAAAAAATCACAAAAAAAATGGAGATACATATTTTTCTTTAGACAGTGATGATATAGTAGTTAGTCAAAAGATGCACAGCCTGTCAGTACGAATAAACACTTTAAACTCTGATCCAATCTTTTGAACGTTGGTCATTTTTTAATTCAAATGCTTTTTGTTGATACAAATTACTAAGAACCAGCTTAACAAATTCGATTACTATATATTACATGCTTTGCAAAAAACACATAGAAAAAAATTCTCTCTAAAAAAGACAACAGTAAGAAAGTCTATATACAAAATTCACATATACATAAACAGCTCTCTGCTGGAGAGAGACAGCGAACACCAGGCCTTCCAGTATCAGATGCAGTCAGATATTATAACACGTGACAAAATGTGTACAGTGTAAAAATCCACACAGGTGTATTATATTTAAAAATAAGTAGTAGAAATACGGTTTGGGCTTCAAGGAATGAAAGAAATGTAAGAAATCAATTCAATGAAAGTTCCGGTACTGAACGCAGAGTAGCTTCATGATTCGAAGAAGGCATGCGAAGCTTTGAGGAATGAGGAAAACAGCAAAAGCACCGAGCAAAAGCAGCGTTCCTCCTTTAGCTTTTACCATGCCGAACGTGAACGGGTGCAGATTTGCTGTCCTATCATAGCAGATGTGTAAAGCAATACAGTGTCTTTCAAAGAATTCAAATGTTATGAGTAACTCAGCAACTAAAAGCAACTATTAAGGCGTTTACACACCGAGAGAGGTTTATTTGTGCGATTTATTCGGACTAAAATAAATAGAGCATGCGCATAACTGATGTCTCGCACACCATGAACAATTTTTCCGGTTGTGAAAATGCGATATTTATTCACCCTGTGTTCAATTTTTGTGACCTTTTCGTCAGTATCAATAAGTCACTGACTGATCACGATCATCTCTGGTGTTGGCATGGCAACAACCAAATGATGCACTGGCTGTGTCCCTGTAAATGGAACCCTTGTACAAATATCAAAAGGATTTGAATCTCAAAAAGCAGCTTAAACGGGGCTCAAACTGGGCTACAAACATCCGAGTTATATGTGGAAGAACTCAAAGTTTTAGCTGTGAAATGATGCAATAAAGCTCTCTGTGCTACTTTCACATTTCCGAATTGGAAGGTAGCCCATTGTCACTGTTGGACTGTTTGCACTAAACCATGTTCAGCCTGTTTGTTTTGTGCTTCATCACGTGAGAAGATGCGTCTCTGAAAGCAGCTCAAACTCAGCTGAGATCCTAACTGTGAGTGGAAGCATTCATGAAGTTTCAACTCCTGAATGAGGAAGAGAAACTCTGCTTGCTTTTCCAAAGTGGACAGCATCCAGCACAAGCTCAGCTTGCCTGTTTCGTGAGGAGCAAAGGAACGGCAAGATAGTTTTGATGCGAATGTCTCTTCAAATCGTGCTCGGTGTGTAAACAGCCTTTTACTATCTGGAGTGATGGAGCCCTGAAGAGAAACAACACTGAAAGAACAAGCTAGTTTTTCATAGCTGTGTTCAAAGCACTTTTGAGTATGCATACTTGTTTATAAAAGCTTTAAAAAATAATATTCCAAGACAAAAGATAACCTCAGTAGCAATATAAGGGGTATGACTTCAAGTTATTTAGCTAAAAAAAGACTGCAAAATGTCCATGTGGGGGTTTTCACACTACAGACAACAGAAACCACCTGGGTTCAATCCTTCATATTAATATTTGCATGTGTCCATACAGTGGATTTACTAGTGTAATATCCTTCTGTGGTACAGGAGAACTAGTTCAGGCTTTTTGGCTCAAATATCAATCGATATTAAACCCCAAAGAAAACTCCGCAGGCATTTCCAACGGGTAGATAAAGTCCTGCAACACAAGTGCTAGTGCCAACCGCACTCAAAAATACACAGCTCTCTGGGCCTGTTTCGGATCTGTTCTCAGAGGGAATGAGCAGTGCTCCTCTCCAAAGAGTCACATGGCTCTTGCCTGGTAACATTCCTTTGCTTTTGCAGCTTTGGAATGAGTCGCCCATAGAAAAGCAAATTGAGATGGACTTGAAGAAGGCACGCGGAAGCATGAAGAGCAGCTGCAGGTGGCCTCGCTCAGTCCTTACACTATAGTTCCAGGCTTAGAGTCCTCGTGCCAGTAAAGTGTCTGATCTTCAGAGTCAAAACTGTCCACTGGGCTGCTCATGTGTGCATCCGCTTGGCTCACGTCAATGTACGACCTGGAACACAGAAAAGAGTGATAAGAAATGTGTATGAGGAGTTCGAACAGGAACAGGAACGTTTTAACCCCTGGTTTTCTGCAATAAATCACAGGAAATGTGGGGCCAGAGATACTGTTCCACAAATAACTGATTATATTCATTGTACGGAAAGCTATTTTTCCCCAGATGTTGAGAGATTGAGTAAATCTGGCCAACACAGGAAGAATTAAGAAAGCAAACTGTTCTTATAGTCAACAGTCAGGCCTGAAGGAGTTAGACGGTTGACTAATTTAAAGGGCTCATACCATGGAAAACTGAATTTCTCACTTTTTTTTAAATGAAAGAGTTTGATACAGCATATGCTGTTAACAAGTTTCAAAACATATTCACTCCCCAGTCCATATATGGAAACTAAGCTGCCAGTTTTGAATTCTTTGTTCAGTGATGTCACGAAAACCCCATTTACATATACAGTTGTATGCAAATGTTTGGACACTGTCAAATTACATGTTGTTGAAAATAACACATCCTCTAAAGGAAACATACATAAATATTGAATTTTCAGCAACACAATTTCGATAGTTTAGCACAGGGGTCGGCAACAAGCCACATGGGACTCTTTTACTGTTCTGTTGTGGCTCCACAGCAAAATTAGATACTATGGTAAAAATAATATAATCTTCCTTTGCAGTAAAATAAAGCTCTGCTGATCGTTTTAACACAGTTTTAATAATAAATGGTCTTAAACGCTGGAGTTAATGTAGAACTGCTATTTCACCCTTTAATCCTGAAGGTTGGGGTGCAGACTGCTGGTCACCATAGCAATGCAGACAACAATCTGGCTAACGAAAAGGCATAGAGAAAGATTTAAGAACCAGCATCGATAATTTGGAGACAAATGGACTTATTTGCATTTATAATCACTCCAGCTGGTTTCCTAATACGTCTAATCTGCAGTGAGAAACTGTAAAACACGAAAAAGTCACGAAACTGAAGTCATTCGCCAGCTTCTTAGATAGATAGATAGATAGATAGATAGATAGATAGATACTTTATTGATCCTGAAGGAAATTCCTCGTTCAAAATTTCACGTTCCATCTTAAATGGTGCAACAGTTAGCTACATAGTTGGCTACATTCTGGTGCCTTATGCATTTTTAAGGTGGAACGGGAAAATTCAAACAAGAAGCTCATGAATGAGAAGCTGACTTCAGCCCTGTAAATAGTCAAACGCTGAGAGACAATTTTACAAGAAACTATTTAACTTTTGCGGAACAGTTTCCTGACAGAGATGCGAGAAAACCAATTATAGCTGAGCTTAAGCTTAAAGCAGAGCAAAGTAAGTCTGGATTTTTGTTTATATTATATTTTTAGCCTATACTTGTACATTACCACATACTGATACATATTTACAACCAAAATGGTAAAATGTTACTTCAATAAAATGGACAACAAATGTTGTGGCTCCCAAGACGGTTAAATTTTTGTTGAAATTTGACAAAATGGTTCTTGTTAACATTTGGGTTGCTGACCCCTGGTTTAGGATATTAAAAATTTAACATGCGCCATTCTGTGCAGCAACTTTTGCACAGGAGACATTTTATTTATTTTCCACCAGTGTGTTAAATTCAGCAAATAAACAGCAATAGAGCATTAAAATGTGCAGAAGTGTCTTCTCTGTAGAGGATGTGTTCAACTTATTTTTTACTTCAAAATCAACAAAACACGCAACTTGACCAGGGTGCCCAAACTTTTGCGTATGACTGTATATCCACCTAAAACAGCCGAAAGCAGTTGAGCACTGCTCACTCACGCTGACGCTATCAGGAATGTTTCAGTCTGGACTGCTTTCTGAATGAGGTACATTTTGAAACAGTTAATCATGACAGAGCTATTTTACACATATCAGTCTTAAAGGTACAGTAACAAAAAAAGCCTGTTTGATATTAAAGGGGTAAAGAGAGGTGGTAAAAATGAATTACGACTGTTTCTGATACAAACAAAAAACACCAATATTATAAGTGGATCTCAGTAAAAATGTAGGATATGAGCCCTTTAAACCTTTTTTTTTAATGTACATAGACAAAGAGTTTAGCGGCTTGGTCAACACGGGGTTAAAATGTTCACACACCTGAAGCAGGACGTGCACACACAGCGAGTCATGACTCGCACACAGCAATCAAAGCACACAGAGCTGGGGTCACGTGTTCGCCCGCAAAAGCGAGACCCCACCTTTTTTTTCCCCCACTTCACACCAAACACACAGAAACCGAGCCACCACCAGCAAGCACACAAATCTATCCAGCAGAAGAAATAAAAAGCTAGAGAGATAAAAGAGCTGCCAGACAGGTTTGGTGCATCAGGAAATAAAGCGCTGTGAGTGTCAATGGTTGATTGAGCACTCTAGTTAGAGAGTCAGTGTGAGTAGGTTTGGTATGCAGCTCACCACATTCTTTCGTGCTGTGAGTCTCACACTAGCACTGAGTGTAATAATAGTCCTGGTCATAACCACTGGCAACAGCACCAGGCATGTTTAAAGGTCCTGGAGCTGGGCTCCTCCTAGAAAACTCAGGTGGAGCTCTGTCCATGAGAGGCCCTGGGGGTGGAGCTAGCAGATGGGGGTCACGGCTGGCATGGAAGGGATGGTGGTTAGTCAGATAAAAACATAATTCTCTGTCTTAATTTGTGTCTGTGTGTGTTTAGTGTGGACAGTATGACAATATGTTATGCTTAGGGATGCACTAATAAGAGAACAGAGGGCCAATGCTGGTATCTGATGTTTTTCATGTACATATTTGCTGATGCCGATACATAAACAACACCTAATGTAGAGTTTGTGTTCACATTACAAGGTTGAAGCGGCACAAATCCGATTTTTTGCCCTAACGTGACTCAGATCTGATGTTTTCAGGGCTGCGTAAATCTGCGCAAATCAGATCTTTTCAAATCCGACCTGAGCCACTTTCATACGTGGTCCTAGATCGGATACGTATAGATTCGTGGTCTTGCGACCTTAATGTGATGTTTTCCACTGCGCGTGCGCCATCATTCAGCGTTACCATGGCAGCAGCGCTGAACAGAAGTTAAAGCCTGTAAACGGTGGAAAAGCAACACATCTCACTTGTTTCTCCTTCGTCTCGCTCTAATAATGAAGCTGAGAGCTGATCAGAGTTAATTATCTTCACAGCGAAGCTCGTTCTGCTCGTTAGTTTGTGCTGATGATGAACGTGATTCATTCACGTGACGTTACTGAGTCGGAGATTTGAAATCACTTACCAAAAGGAGAACAATCGAGTCAGAGAAATTGGATTTGAGCAAAAAATCGGATTTGAGAAATGAGGCTTATAATGTGAACGTAGCCTTAATCTATCTGCATTAGCGTTACAGAGTAATCCAACATTTATTTATAGAGAGTTACAAATGCAGTAAAATGAATAAAAGGCAGATAATTTAGTGCAGAAGTCCAGCAACGCCTGAACTTTTCCACACTTCTGGATTAGAATAAATACGTGATACAACATCGGTGAAAGCTAAACATCTGTTCGATGTCAATATATTTTTAAAGCTATCACTGACAAATTATCAGTGTATACTGATATGAATGATATGGATTCAATATCAATGTGCATCCCTAGTTATCAAGAGAAACTGTGTCATGTTAAGTTTTTCCAAGTATATCGTGTGTATTGTCAGTATTTCTATAACAATGAACAATTCGGACCAATTACAGAGAACCAAGAACTGTAACTGCATGGTATAAGTTATTATCCTATTATGGGCGCTTTTCCACTGCACATTCCCAGTAGGGCTGAAAGATTAATCGTTTTTATATCGAAATCACAATAAGACAAGAGCTGCATTTTTTTTTTTAATAGTCTACATGGTTAAAAAAGATGGTTCTTTAGCAAAGACAGTCATTCTTTATAGAACCACGAACACTCAACAACCCTTTTGCATGCTTAAATGGTTCTCTGCATGGTGAAATAGTTCTTCAGATTAATGGAGAATGTGTTGCATGTGGTTCTATATAGCACCAAAAATGGTTCTGCTATTATGATACCAAGCTTGCAACAGTACAAGAACATTTTGCTGCTATATAGAACCCTTTTCAAAAAGATGCTATATAGAACCATATACAGCACATTCTCCATGAATCTAAAGAACTACTTTACCATGCAAAGAACCATTTAAGCACACAAATGGGTTGTTGAGTGTTCATGGTTCTACATAGAACCATTTTCTTTAATAGAGAACCCTTGAACAACCTTTTATTTTAAGTGTGTACATTAGCAAAAGTGTTGTTTTAAGAAAAGAAATCGAAATGCCTGTAGAAAACTTAGACCAATCAGAGGCAACCAAACCTCCATGTGTTGTGGCATCACAACCACAACTTACTGGCAGTTTGGCTCACTACATTCAGGGGTCAAGCCTCAAGCCAAAAAGATGGATATTCTGATCTTCTTGGCCAAAATAAATCAGGCCTGAATCTTAATCGTTCAGCCATAATTCCCCGTCAGGAATCAATGGAACTTGTGATTCTAGCTGTATTTCATTTTTCCACCTGCTTGAGAGACAGTTGGAACCTTCACATTAACCAAGATTAATTTCACTGTCATTTTATGCCACTCTAAGTATATTAGGTATAGACTGTATATAGTGTCTATAGGGTAAGGATAGACTTATACTGTCTACAGAGTAAGTACAGACTGTATACAGTGTGTATAGAGTAAGTATAGACTGTATATAGTGTGTATAGGGTAAGGACAAACGTATACTGTCTACAGCATAAGTCTAGACTGTATATAGTGTGTATAGAGTAAGTATAGACTGTATATAGTGTGTATAGAGTAAGTATAGACTGTATATAGTGTATAGGGTAAGGATAGTCTTCTACTGTCTACAGAGTAAGTATAGACTGTATATAGTGTGTACAGAGTAAGTATAGACTGTATATAGTGTGTATAGGGTAAGGACAAACGTATACTGTCTACAGCATAAGTCTAGACTGTATATAGTGTGTATAGAGTAAGTATAGACTGTATATAGTGTATAGGGTAAGGATAGTCTTCTACTGTCTACAGAGTAAGTATAGACTGTATATAGTGTGTATAAAGCATAGACTGTATATAGTGTCTATAGGCTAAGGATAGACTTCTACTGTCTACAGAGTAAGTCTAGACTGTATACAGTGTGTATAGAGAAAGTATAGACTGTATATAGTGTCTATAGGGTAAGGACAGACGTATACTGTCTACAGAGTAAGTATGGACTGTATTTAGTGTCCTAATTCGGCTAATAACTAGCTAGTTTCCTTGTTAGTTATCTTAACTTATTGGTCGACATAAAAATAATATGCTGCACTGTGTTCTATGTGCAAACTCACAAAAATGTCCACACTTAAACAGAACTATGGGTAAAATCTTGAATAAGGGAATAACTCCAAAAATTGACACGTCATACTTTCTCACTTGTAAGTGTGGAGCATTTATTAATGACATAACAGTGTTTGTTAACTTTATCTTCACTTGTAAAGAAGTGGCTAATTACTTATTGCCTTCAGCTTCAAGAGACACGAGTACCATTAGGTCCTATCGGTATCATTCTTGAGCAGATACCAAAAATCGTAAAACTGGAACCTTCCGTACTGGACTGATGACCAGTGGAAAAACGCCCTTTGTCATTCTATTGCTTTATAATTTTTTGAATTAATTTTTTTATTATTAAATCTTTGGTTTTCACTACTGTTTCTTCTTAAATAGTTTAAAATCAATTTTTACTAGCCTTTTAATAAGGTATCATGTCTTGCCAGTGCCTTTTATCTGTTGTTCCTAAACAAGAAAATCTAAACATTTAAAAAAAAAAAAAAATTCTAAATACCACAACACAAACACATAATAGAAAATGTCTTCAAATATCATGAGTCATGATATTTTTGCCATATTGCCCACAATTAATATGTTTTCTCTATTCAAGCACGACCAGAAATGTGAGCCGTAGACATTTTGTTAGGTTATGCTGTCAGGAGAAACACAGAGACATTAGAAAAGCCATGCAGTTACGTTTTTCACAGGAGGATCAACTGAAAAAAACTCCACAAACAGCTGAGACACGGAGCACAAACGACCCTCCAGAAACTCACTTCACAAAACCTGAGCCAGACACACCAAATGCAGAGGAAACCACCACGGCTGGCACACTTTTTTACTTACTATCAAGGGCTACATTTAGCAAAGGAAGCTTTATTAAGCCTTTCATTTCTGGAGCCACCAGAGGGATGCAGGACAGAGCCCGACTGATCCGCCCGATAGCGGAGAAAAGAGGGTGGAGGAAGGGAGGAGAAAGAACAAGCATGAGGGGAGAAGGGAGGAGAAGGGCAGTGCCAGGAGGATTTAGGGTGTGGACTGGAGACATGTCTATACGAGAGAGAAAGAGCGTGAGAGAGAGAGAGAGAGAGAGAAAGGCAGGCATTGGGGAGAACACAGTGTGAAGGCAGGGTCTGTGAGGACAGTCCTAAACTCTTCTGACTTATAAACCAAACTCAGGCAAGCAGCCAATATTTGTGGCCCATGCCCTACAGCACCTATAGCAGAGCAATTAGCCTACCTAACCACATCTTATTACACAGTAATAAAACACAAAGCCATGAGTAAGTTTGTGTTCACAAGGACATTTTGGTATCCATAATAAGCACATCTACTCCCAGTGGTTTCAATTACAACTCAGTAAATCGCTGCTGTCGGAACAAAACCTCGTATTTCCATTTTTGTCGTTTTGTACTTGTTTACAGAATCTGAAAATAGCAGCTGGACTTTACAACATGCCACAATTTCATGATGAACGGACCAACAGAAATGCTCCAAAAGTGCTTGGAAAGAAATCAAGTTCCATTAACTTCCAATCAAAATTGAGAACGTTTTTCCTTCTCCTGTAAAGTTAACATTTTGGAGATACAAGGTTTTGCTTTCCGACAGCAACGAAATGTAAAACATTTAGGAATGAACAGCAATGTGTGAAAATTAAGCTGCTGCCCACTGAAAAAGTTTACCAGAGTTGAACTTTTGACAGTACATTCTCTGACATAACTATGCGTCAGCCAACCGGAGATGGTCGTGGGTGAGTCAGTCAGTCACGTCAATGTTGACCAAGATGGAAAAGGAACTGCTGTGCTCAGGTCACATCCAGAGTTGTGCAATCCAACTCTGAAGATCTATATGGCCAGCAATGTCACTTCCTTCTGTGAAAAACTGCAACTACCAGCACAGTTGGGCAGTTCAGGTCCAAAAAGTAAAACTGTCTTTCTCTAAACAGCTTAAACCAGCAGCGGAGGCTTCCAGGCAGTTGGATCAATGAATTAAACATGGATCCTCACAAGCAGTTGTGGGTAAAAACTGAAAAAAGGTCTCTCTTCTCCTACAAACATGACTACAACAAACCAGCCATGCGCATCAATGTGTGTTTTTATGGATTCCAAAGATATCCTTGTGAACGTGGCTTAAATAGGACAGTGGAACCATCCAACATGACTTGATCTTCATGGAGTCCATTGATGACGGAGCTGCCTGACCCTGTGGTTAAGACAGATGATGTAAGGGATAAGAAGTAGAGAGGTTAAGAGGTCCAGAGGGTCCTACCTGCTGTGTGCTGGGTGGCTGTACTGGACTGAGCTGTAGCTGTATGTGTGCTGGGGGTGATGAGGCATGTTGCACTCTGATAAGCCCACGGCCAGGTGACTACGCCAGTTGCTCGCATTCACTGCTGAAGACACTGAAAGAGTTGTGGAATTAACGTTGTGCCACAGACTCTAATAAGACAAACCTTGACACATTACTTATTATGAGTTAGCAATGATTTAATGGCTTGGGTGATACTTCCATACACTAGTGCTGAACAGTTTGGGGGGAAAATATCTGAGATTCTTTGTGACCAATATTGTGCCAGCGATTTAAATGAGATCATTTTCGATGAATTAAGTTCTGGGCTGTTTTTGTCCTCCAAGATCACTGTAACTGTAATTTCAATATAAAAATGATTTATTGTTTAGCCCCATCGTAGACAGCATTATGATTAGATTTCAGGTTCTCATGCATCTGTGTGCAGAGAACTCAGCACTACCAGCTATTCATTAAGAGCCTTGATATAGAAGTTGTCACATTATAATACATGCTTATACATCATACTTGATTGTGTAATTAGTCTCAGCATTTTGTTTCAAAACCTTTTCTTTATATACGTTTTATTTTAGGAATCCACAGAACTTCAGTTCCACTGAAACGTTAAGACGGTGTGAGCAGCCTTACCCGATGAGTAAGAGGTGGCGCGGTCATTAAAGCCATAAGCGGTAGGTGCGATCCTGTAGGCCAAGCTGTGCTGTGGTCCCCTGTCGTAGTCATAGGCCGGCTGCTTGTGCCCTGTGTTCCGGTTATACCAGCCTCGCAAGTGCTCAGCCACTATAGCCTTTTGTATGTTTTTTGTCACGTTCTCGTTCCTGGACGGCGGCCGGCTCCTCGATTGCCTCAGGGTGGCGTACGGGTTCTGGCTCATGCTATCTAACTCGTCCTGCCCGTAGCCCCTATAAGGGTCATGCGTGGGATAGGCTGGCACGTGGTAGGAAGGATTGACGTTGTAGTGCCCCTCCACTTCACTCTCGTACACGTAGCCACTGTTGACGTACGGTTCAGGCTCCGGGTAGCAGGGGTATCCGGTAACGTAATAGGCGGTGGTGGTGGGCCGTGTCCGTGACGGGTAGGCGTAACCGCGAGTATCGTTCTGTGCTAGGTTGGGCATGCTACCCGTGTTGGCGTAGACATTGCCTTTCTTCCGTCGGTAGCGGTCACGAGCCCGCGAGGTGACGCAGTATTCTGAGCTGGACTGGCTGGTGTGTGAGGAGACGTCGTCCAGGACCTCTGTACTGTTGCTGCGGCGGGCCGGGGGAGCGATGGTGAAGGCGGGCTCGGGGCCGTCCGTCTCTGCCGGGAAGAGAGACTGAGACTCTAAGCTGCCACTGCGCTGCCGGAAGTGATGAGGGCCGTCGTCCTCACACCTGTACACACACACAGACAAGAAGTGCACCAAGTAAGACAATTAAAGGGGTAGTTTGAACACCAAACACGTCTTGATTGACAGACTGCATTTGGGGTAAGTGGGAAATCATGTAAATCTTCACAAAAGCATTCCTTTTTCTTTTATAAACTCACTTTTAACTTATCATCCCAGCCCTGGAGTATCCTGTCCTGATTTTTATTTTTTTACTTTTACTTTCTTATTTCCTTCATTACACATCTGAGACTTAGAACGTTGATGTTCTTGAATTCCTGAGATCCTTCTGAAACGAACAACCTCTCATTTGTCCGTCTACGACCTTCCTATAGTAAATAATCCACTTATTCAGTTTCTTGCTCTAACGCATGCACTTCACCTCAGAAAGGACTTGTTAAAAAGCTGATTAGCTGGATTACGTGTGCTAGAACAGGAAAATATATACACATATATATACATACATACATACATAATATATATATATATATATATATATATATATATATATATATATATGTGTGTGTGTATGTGTGTGTGTACACATGAATGAATAAGTATAGGAATATATGTCACACCATTACTTTGATTAAACAAATCAGTATTAAGTTCTCATTGTGTACAGTGATAGAAAACAAAGCTCCAGGCTCCAGTTCTACACACTGAAACTGATAAAATGATTTAACTGTTGCCAGCAAAATTCATCCTCTGGCAACAGATGAACGTTGTTTGGTTAAACAATATTCTGTTCCAGTTCGTATGGCGGTGGTTGGTTCAGGATGGATACGGCTGTATCCAAAAGTTTGGGGGCCCCTGATCAAACCACATTGTTGTTGAATTTTGACGCATGTTTTAATGCATAATTATTTTTTATTGTTACTGAATCTAACATACTAGGAAAAAACATGTCCTGTGCAAATGCTTTGACACATATAATACATTCTGGTTTATTTTTTCACTTAAACTCAGCACTTAGATAGAAATTGTGCTCTAAAATTTGCAGCAAAGTTACATATTTAAGTTGCTCCATGTCATGTAGAGGATTAGCTCATTTTCTCTTAGAAAGGCAGCAAAATATGCACTTGACCGCGAGTGCTGAAACTTTGGCATATAACTGCATGTGTTGAACGGAAGGTCAGGAACACTGTACCTGAGCTGGATACTGCTGAAGGCGTTGCGGGTGAGCTGGGGGGTGGGAGGCATGCTCCGGGAGTCACGGAGCTGTCTGGAGGTTTGGTAGTAGGGGCTACTGTGTGTCGATAAGGCATCTCGGTGCATATAGGGGTAAGGTTCCTGCACTTCGCCATGATTTATTCTACAACACAGATAAGGACAATGCTTTCACAACATTTACTTCCTCCGAGGTGGAGCTCTTCTTGTTAAGGAAACCACCCCTAATTACTCACAGGGACAAACACAGAAAAAAAGCTGACCCTGCTCGCTGGCACTTCCGCTCAAAACGCTATGAAAAATACCATGACTGAATTAAACCTTAACTCCTACATAAACCCCTACCTTTATATACTGACTTACTGGATCCTAGCAGAGCACAAGCGCCATTAATACGCTGTGTTTTGCATGAATTTCTGTGAAAAAAGGCCTGTGTCCCTGTGCAAGACTACATTTTCTCTCCACCCTCCTCTGAGACTGTTGTCGGCCACGCTACAACTTGCTTTACTCCTCCGGCTCTATTTTTAACGCTATGGTCTGATAACAGACGTAAGTGGAGGCCCAAGCAGGAATGCAGGGGTGGTTTCTTATATGCAAGCCTCAACTAGCTCAAGAGAGAACGGGACAAACGGAGACAGGCAGTGAGAGGAGAGACACTAAGCCAGGAAAGGGTGTTGCTGCTGGGCTTGTCTCACCCGTTCGAGTCCTGCTGCTCATCGTTGGCAGAGGTCCTGTGATCGGAGTGGTAGGGAACGTCCAGGGCGTCCGAAGGGCGGGGGGAATACTGAACTGAACGGGATCGCTGCCGGTGCGTTCCCAGAGCCTCATCTGTCGGTGAAGGGAGAGGAAGCAAGGTGTTAAAGGGCCTGTACTCTACAGGTTTCTTGTATTTTATACGTTTGTGAGGTTTCATGTGCCAAATAATTCATGTTTACATGACCAATTTCAAATCTCCCTTTACTCCTTAAATCAGGCTGCTTTTTTTTTTTTAACTGCGCTGATCTATGTAAATAAGCTCTGCTCTGATTGGCTGTCTTGTATTGTGCCACATTCAAAAAGCAGCACAGGCTGAAATACTCCTTACAACTTCAGTGTGAGTGCGTGTAGCTAAACTGCTGTAGGCTGTTTGGGTAGATGTATGCAATTGTGTTGGATTTTGTGACATCATAAAAACTGTTCACAATTCATAACAAGCTGTTTTTGCAGCTTAGCATCCATATATGGATTGTATGGACGGTATGCTTTGAAACAATGTTTACACACTGCATCAAACTCTTATTAAGGTGAGGAAAATTGAGTTTTCCATTATGTAGGCCCTTTAAGGCGACTGCAAAGTTGGTCAATTTTATATCATAAAGCAGTTTTAACTGTATAAACTGTGTTAGCCTTACCATCTTCCAGATTCAGGCTATCCGAGAGAGAGCTGAGGTCTGCTATACTCACATCATCTGTGAACAATAGACAGAGACAGTGAGCAGGTTTTAATGTATATCGTCGCTGTCCAATGAAAAACGTATCTCCATTTTTTGCGATTTTTACCTTTCTGCATCATTTGAGCTCAGCAGCTGTCCTTTACATTGTGTGAAAATTTCATGATGATTGGACCAATAGAAATGCTCCAAAATTGCTTTGAGTAAAACTCTTTCCATTAAATTACATTGGAAGCAAAGATTTTTTGCCCTCTCCCGTAAAGTTACTCTTTTGGAGATACTTGTTCTCTTTGGACAGCGATGATATGGTTTTCTCATTGCAGTTATGTAAAAACCTTATTTCTTCTTTAAAGTTGTCATCATTTCTTATTGTTGCAACACCTATACCACCATCATAAGTCATCATTACCGTAAACATCACTCATATCCGTTACGCAAGTTACCCCCCCCCCTTTCACGTTTTTGTACTTCCTAAAGACCTATAAGCTGCTCTGAAGCAGCAAATCAGACCAGTACAGACTTGAACCATGAGCCCCAAACTCCTCATTATTGGGCTGTTAAATGAACCGATATAAATCTCCTTCTTATACCTATCTGGATGTTTAATAATACAAACAAGTCTGTACCAGCAATGATGAGGGAAGCTCTCTGTGTGGGCATCTTGCCAGTCTTCACTCTGTAGTCATTAATCTCGTTCTCGATTTCCTGGAGCTTCTTCATGGCATCTAAACAGTTCCTCCTCCGCTTTTTCTTTACGGTTTTACAGAGCTCAGTTTCGTTGGCAAGCTTCTTCGCTGCTTCTACGATCTTCTGCTGCAGAGCGAACCTGCTTTCCAAATTCCTTAAATGAGGGTCCTGAGAGCACACAAATGTCAAGTCAGCAAAGAGCAGCGCAAGATTACATAATTATAAGAAACTGCTAACAAATAAACTGCTTCAATATCATTTTATATGATACAATCATAGGAGAGGATTTCAAATTGTACAGGGTGTCCCAAAAAAATTGACATCATTTCGTAGTCTAATAACAGCCAATTCTCCCTCAAATGATCTCAAATTTTAACAACACGTGTAAAAACTAACCAAGTTTAATTTTTAATGTTTTTCAGGTTGAAGAACGGCGTTCACTAGAAATGAAAAGGCATTTTGTGTGTTAGAATATGCTCGAACACAGTCAAACAAGAGTGTGCAGCACCCATTTTCAAGAAAACTCAATAAAAATGCACCAACTGGAAAGCAGATTTGGACACGGCACAAAAAGTTCAAACAGGAAGGCTGTGTGTGCAGCACAAAGGGATCTGGACGACCACCAGTATCGGAAGATATTACATTTGTGAAGCTGAAATCAGTTATAAAATCTACATCCGACTGAATTTCTTGTTCGAATTTTGATAAATAAATCTTGTATTGTTCAACATGAAGCCTATTGAATTTCGTTTGCCAGGACATGTAGTTACTCAGATATTCACATCTCAAATGATGTCAATTTTTTTGGGACACCCTGTTTTTGAGGAGTAAAAACTAGATCAAAACAAGCACACCATACCGCATCATAGGGGAACAGGTCATCTAGTTTGAAGGCAGTCCCCACGCGCCTTCGTACAGTAGGGGGTTTCTCTCCTGACGCTAGAGGGTACTCTTTAGGCAGTTTTCCAGTCAGCTCCTGCAAAAAAAAAAATAAAAACAAACAAAAAGTTTAGTCTGTAAACCTCATTTTAGATACAACACACTACTAAGCGGTCAAGTAGCTGTAACATGAACCACTCACTGCTTCTCTGAGGCAGATCTTTTTAAGCTCATTGAGCTTCTGGGTCAGAAGGTCCTGAAGGTTCTTCTCCTTCTTCTTCAGCTCTGCAATTTTCTCCTTCTTCAGTTCTTCACTTACCTCAGAATCTGCAGAACCTAAAGGCACAAACAAACTCAACTTAGATACGATCTCCATCTCCGAGTCTATAATTACAATAATCGTGCTGGAGAGGGTCCAAGCTCAGCTGATTACTTCACCACTAATAAGAGGGAGCCTTCAGTTCAAAGGCTTTTATAAAGAAGAATAATACACAGAGTCAGTGAGTTCATCACCTGCAGAAACCAAGCTTCCATTACTGGCCATGATGAGCTGGTCTTTGCTCTCAACACTGACCATCCTGCTGATCCTGGGGGCTCCGATCTCAGTGAGGTCCATAGCGATGTCGCCCAAACTCTTGGTTGTGGCTATTTTAGCCTTTACATAAAGACGAAAAAGGGAGGAGAGAAAGAACAGCTGAGGACGGATTGTCGTTACATCACGTTAATGAACTCTGCAGTGCTATAAAAAGTCCAATCACTGTGCCAATGACAGAAAGCAGGGGTTCTCATCAATCAGCTGAGTGACTATTCCTGGATCAGCACTGCCCATTGGTTTCTAACCAAGGAAAGCTTACAGCTCATCATAATAAGACTAATAGCTTGGAAACATTCATCGTGCTCTACTCAGCATATTCCAATACATATGAAAGACACAAACTCTTCCATGCAGAGTTTGAAGAGTCCATCGTGATTACTTTATCAATTAAAATTTACATTCTCAATGAAACTGCTTAGTAATTAGTTTCACTGATAAACAGTGTGGGAAGTGAACACCACCATTTGCTTGGTGTTAACAAAACACAGAAGCGCTAGCGGAAATTAGCACTACTGAAGCGGTGGTTCTCAAGTTATTATATTGTGTAGACTGACGCAAAGAAATATGTTGCCATACAAAGTTCATGAAATTAAAAAAAAGAACTCAAACTCAAAAGAACATGACCGATTTATCAAAACAGCATTAAAACTGGCTTCAATTAAATTAGCAGATATCTATTATTATTATTTTTTTTTACACAGTGAGCTTTATTTACATATTTATGAAGCATTTTCAATGCCTTCATTTCGTCTTTTTAATAGAGTATTCTGGAATCTGTCAAAGGCTCTGTAGGGTGTGTTAAAGTTCAGTTAAGCCCACTTTTAAGAAAATAAAAAACAAACAAATCGGTCTTTTTCTCCATCTGGAGTGGGAATTCAGGTGGATACTGTTTTAAAAAATCAATTCCTTTCATCCCAAAACTAAATAATCTTAATATGTCCATTAACATATCCTATTATCACATACACATAAAATTAGAGCTCAATTCCAAACATATTCTACAGTCATTCGTGTTGTATAATTATGGCGTAACACCAGTGACTGTGACTCCAGTGACATTCTGGTTAAAAATGAGGATTTTGTAAATTGGCTGACTCATTGTCGGTCAGGTGACCTTGTGCAACTATTTAAAGTGAGTAATAAAAATGATATTTGGCATTATTTTGATCCAATTTTAATTACCCAGCCATTAAAGCACATAACACCTGTGACACATAGAGGTTGTGCTGCCTGATAAACAAAGAATACAATTATTATTTTTTAAAACAAAATACATTTTTACGTAAACATGAATCTCTTTTATACAAACTCCTAAGTTAAACCTCTTAAAAATATTGTTTTATATTAAAAATGGTTCCTCAAATGTTGAAAATTGGTTCTGTGACGAGCTGCTTTACAGATGTAGGGTGACAATGAAACAGGATTTAAAAAAAAAAAAAAAGATATCATAAGGGAAAAGTATTATCTGATCTTACGTCAACTGTGTAAACACACATACCAGCTTTTGGAGCTGTGTCTAATATTTTAAGCATCTTTTTAAGCCCTGCAAACTTTGCGACGTGGTTTCCCCTCCAAATGGAGAATGACCCAATAAAAAACAAAGATTACTTGATTAACCATCAAAATAATTACCAATATTTTCACATAATAAATAGTAACAGCCCTACTGTACATCATAATGCACTGAACTTTCATAAGCATGGGTTCAGGAGACTGATCAGAATAGAGAATTACTGATAGAAATAATAAATACTAATGCTAGCATACTCACTTTGCTCTGTTTACGATCCAGGTAGAACTGGTGCTGACTGATGGCCATCGCCCAGATGGTTTTGATCAGAGAGTGGCTGGCATACCACGAGTGGATTGCCTGCCCAGACTGTCCGAAAGTACGCTTGGACGCTGCCTTCCTGTAGATTAACACAGATACGCGTGTTAAGAAGAAGCATTACAGACCTGATTTAATTGAATTAGCAGAGTGAAGTACTTTGATACAGCAAACAACTACAATGCAAGTGCCCATACAATAATACACTCAGAGGTACAGTAAATATCAACCAAATGGTATGTTCCATTGTCTTTTTAGACTTGCTTTCAGTTTTTTTTTTCTGAGACACCTGCAGGGATCATTTTTTTCATGCTCCTTTAAAGTTCAGTCCTAGAAGTTGGTTGCATTTTCTGCTTCTTGCGATTCAAGTAACTCCAAACACAATCTACGATGAGCATCTATGACAACACCAGCAGCTTCTTCGTTTGACTTGCAAATGTTCTTCTTTTGTGTCCATTTCCTTTTCTTTTTGACAGCTATGCATGCTTTCAGACTCATAGCGTTGAGCATTTGCTTCTCACAATCCATGTAATCCGAAAAACATTCTGGACTCAGGCCAGGCCTCTGTTCTGAGAAAACCAGCAGCTTCTTTGTTTGACGTGTCCGTCTCCTTTTCTCAGTGAGGTTCTTCTTGACAGCTACACATCCTTTCAGACCCACAGCGCTGAGTTGTCTTCTCACAGTGGAAGGATGGACAGAAACACCTGTGGATGTTTTCAGATCTGAAGCAGCTTGATTTTCTCCTCTCTCTCAAAGATGAAAGCTTTAAGTGCTGTTTATCTGATGGGGGCAGTTTTGATGTCTACCATGTTGTGCACGGTTGTTAGAAGTCCATTTTCTCTTTAATGAAGTTTTGAACTCCAAGTTTGGGAAAAATTTGCTTTTTCGTTTAGTATGGATTTTCTTATATCTAATCTCCTCAGAAATAATAATAACTTGTTATAATAACAGTCTGTATTGACTGGAAATGAAATAAATGAAGGGTGGTCTCTGATTTTTGCACAGTAGTGCTGTATATATCAGCTTGTACAATAGTTATTTCAGCATTTCAGAAGAGGGTTTTAACTGAAAGGTCTCTCACAGTCTGTATGACATTCTTATGGCGCGTGGTAAACCTCACTTATATTTACACATCAACACTAGCCACCTCTACATCAACTAATGCAGTGTGTATATCAGGACTGACCTTGAGTTTCATGCTGCTGCAGTCAGAATACAATGCTTTAGTTAAACTTTCTCCATCTTTTACTCTGTAATTGCTTTGTTGGCGCACTACAGTAAAAGCAAAGGCTGCTACATTAAAAGGCCTCGCATCAGTGACTTTTAATTACGACCGAGGTGGCCAGAAGCAGCGTCCTAGAATCTGGGAGCGGTGTAGCGTGAGGAGCCAAAATAGTGCAGTCTTTAACTACAGGAACAGGCTCGTGTGAGACATCGTGAGCCATCTCAAACGAATGGACAACAATGCAATTAGTCTCCAGGTAGAACTGGAAAGGTTGTACACGGCAAAATAGAAAGTACATCCAAGCTTTTCTCCTCACCTCTGAGGGTCGTTGACCTCAACTGCAAACTTCTTCTCACGGAAATACAAGTTCTCAAGCTGCTTCCAGTGAAAGATCTATAGGAGGAGTGAGACAGAGCAGGTTTACTTTAATGCAGGAACGTGTACGTAGGTAAATAAGAGGTGTCGGATACAAAGCTGATGGAAAACAAACATCCTTAAAGTCAACAAACCCAATCCCTCTAGTGCTGGGAGATACAACACTGTACCAAAAACACAACACAATTAAATCAGACGCTGCTACTGACAAACCATTCAAACCGAGCCAGTCAACTTGCACAAATATCCATATGTTCATCTGCAAGCACAGGTCAAAAGCATCAGCTATGAGGTCAATTTAGCTCCGCCGGTGCTTTAATTAAACCGCAAAAGAGCCTCGAAGCTTTTCAAACCTGCCTGAAGGGAGGGAGCTGAAAACAGGGCACCGCAAAACATCTGCTGCTCAGAATACAGGGCTTGAGAAACTCTGCTGCTCTGAGAGCAGCTCTCCCAGGATCTCAGCAGCTACAGTACAATATCCAGCAGGTGCTATCAGCATGCGGGGGCGAGGATTTAACAGGAATGTTAATAAACATTCTCTGCCAGGTACCGGCAAGACGCCGCCACCGGAACGATTACGGATCACCCAGGAACAGTCCGAGATACTACAGCCGACAACCAGGAAAAAGACTTCAGGTACTTTGAATAAATACATACATGAAGGCAAACCTTCAATGAACCAAGCAAATGGCGTCCGGTTTCCGACTATGAGGTCACGTTTTGTATTTCAAGGAATCTAAATGACCGCAACAGTTTCCTCTCTTTCCAGGTAGCGGTTACCGTCCTCACACGTATATCTCCCAAAGACAACAACCTTCACATTGTACCACAGCTTGAGGATGGATAAATTTAAGCTCTTACCAGCAGAGGTTGGGATGCCTGTAAAACAAAAAAAAAATAATCCTTGCTGAACTGGACAGGTCCTGTGCTCGAGTTTCCCACAGGGCTGGGGCTTCCTTGAACAATACTCTCTTGTCCGCTCTCTCAGAGAGAGGGAGAGAGGGAGAGAGAGGGAGAAAAGGTGTTGCAAGAGTTTCAGTCAAGTGAGCCCCTCCCGTTCGCTCCTCCTCCGCGTGACATCATCCAACCTACCTTCAGCAGACTGACGACTTTTGGTAGAGTACATGTTTCTCAGCCCCTCCCTCTCTGAACTGACTAAGCCTTCTCTTTCATTCCCTCCCTCTCTCTCTCTCGCTCTCTCTCTGGCTTCAACTTCATCCTCTTGTCCAACCTGATGAACAGGTTCCACATACACAGTCACAAGCCTGCAGAGTGCTCTGCCTCTCGTCTCTCTTGGGAAGGAATTTTCATTCTTTCATTCAGGCTATTTTCCTCACACCCTTCTACAGCCACTCATTAAGCTTTGTGCTCCATTTCCTGGTGTGTGGACCTTTCCACAGCCTAAACTGCACGCCACCTCCTGTTGATCTGAGGCGATAAACTCCCTGGCCCTCCCGTCTGCCTCCCAAGGCAAATATGCATGGAATCTACTACTTTCTTTTAATCATTAATAGCCAGCCATGGCACTCCTCACCTCTCCGTGCAAAACAAGGCAAAGCAGCTGAAGCTCAGCTCCAGCTGACAGCAGAGAATGTCTCGCCCCTTATCAGTGGCCAGAAGATCAGCACCTATCTCTGCTGAATGCCGCTCCATTCAACATACAGATAAAAACGCAGGCCTTTTAAGAAGATAAGGCAGAATGCATTTCATAATAAAAGAACTAAGGGAGCTGGAACAAACCAAATAACAAAGAATAGCGTCAGAACGTTTGGTTGCAGAAAAATAATGTGCTAATATGAAACAACAAAAGGACACACAGCCAAGATATAGATCTTTTCTGTAACCCACGTGGCTTCTGCTGAATTTCCTACAGAGTTAGGCCGTTTCTGCATAGCAGCTGTTTGGTCAGCTAGGCCAAATACAACGGGTGGAAAATTCTCTCAACAACGCAGAATGTGCTAATTAAATGGCCAAAGGAAAGAGACTACACTTCTCACTGTCTATATCTGATAGTACAGGACAAACATCTAGAGTTCATTCAATTAGTCTGTCTCTGACCAGCAGGGGAGCGATTCATTAGCTTAATTCACAGCCACTCAGATGTAATTAAGATACATTGTTTGCTGATGCAAAGTAAACTTTATTTAGGGACATTAAAATTTTCAGTATCAGTAGATAACTGCTTTAAAATCAGCAAAAGGACAGATTGTCAGATTTTTCCAATATGACAAACTGATTTGATGAAGTATTTACTGTACTTTGAATGTGAAACACATTTAGGTGAAAATACATGCTAAATATCTGCATTTTATTACTTTTACTGCATTTGTAGTGCTGCAAATAAGTATTACATTTCTCTCTAATGCAAATCCAAGTAGTCCCAGATTCTTTATTTTATAATTATGTATCTGCATCAAATTTTATTTTGTTTTATCAAGAACAATTGATGTAGTAAGCTCTTGAAAAAAACTGTGTTAATCCAAAATGCTGCCTTCACTGTACTGCAAATAGATCTGCACTACCCTAAAGTTCACTACTCTTATTACTGCAATGTTCTACACTTTCAATTCTCTATTCAAACAAGCTAGCACCATGTTGAAATTGCATTTTCCTACTTTCTAAAAAATGGAAGTGCCAAAGAAATCTTTTTCTTTGGAGCGATGCCACTGAACCACTCTTGCTTCCCTGAAGAGCCTTTCTTATAGTTCTTATTCAGCCCAGCACTGAGCTGTGGAGCAGTGAAACTGCATTCTCTGGAGTTATGGAGCTCAATCCAATACCTCTGGGATGAGCTGGAGTTCCAGAACTGATCATCCAACATCAGTACCTAACTTCAGTAAAGCTCTTGTGGCTGAATACAATCAAATCCTCAAAGCAAAATGTTCCAAATCTAGTGTAAAGCCTTACCAGAAGAGTAGAGGCTGTTACTGCAGTATTAATGCCCTTCATTCCAGAAGAATGGATGAGCAGATGTCTACAAGGTTTTGGACCTACAGCATATATAATGTCAAACTTTTTGCTACAACAAACAAGCAGCAGTGCTGCATTCTCAAATTAACATATGAATCAGAGTTTCGATGGGTGCCGTTTGGGGGGACATTAGATGAGTTTGGATGTATGAATGAGTACTAATGAGTATTTCTCTAATAATACAAAAAGCTCCACAAACATCTTTAGAATAAACCTGCTGGCAAAGAGAGGAGCTCGCTCTTCCTTCAGAAAACAGGAGCACTGTGTTTACAAAGTAAACATCACATGAAAGTTTAGGTCATGAGTTGATGGCTGGCTCCTTCTTCAACCTACTCAGGTTGTTTCTGTCCACCATTCTGTGTGACAATTTCTCAAAGTATTTATGCTAGAAAGTTAAAAAACATTCATTTAATTTTAAAGACTTTTCAGGACCAAAACTTCAAAGAAAGTTCAAAGAAAATAACACTGTCTTGACAGTGACGAAGCTACACATCTACAAATGAGTAAATGGACAAATTCATTATCATCACTTTGAATAACACACCTGCACCTGAAACACTTCGATGAGTCATATAACCAAAAAATATGAAGCACTGTCAAAATATGCCAGAGATTCTGACACACCTTACTCTATTACAGATTGCTTAACTTCCTTCCATAATGGAACAGCGGAAATGAAACACTGAAGCATCCAAGAGGAATGAAAAATATGTATAAGGACATGATTACAAAGTAAGATTTGCTTACTTAGAAAATACATGGAAATAATGCTATTTTCTAGAATATTAGTAACAAATCCAACCCTGAATATACACTTATATGTAAAAGGAAATGTAAGATAAGGTTACTATAACCAGAAATTTAGACAGAGTACAGTATTGCGCCCCTGGCCGCTGTAATATTTGACACCTGACTACTGGGAGAGGAGACAAATTCTGTCTGAGCATGACCTATTTCAGAAACCTCAGTGATGTATCATCAAATCTAGCGACGGTATAACCAAAAACGTGTGATATAGGTCACACAGATCCAACAGCTTGAGCCTCACCATTTTCATCATTTACATCAGGCTTATCGCTGTTGTCGGAAGAAAACCTTGTATCTCCAAAATGGTAACTTCACAGGAAAAGGAAAAAACCTACTTCAATTTCAAGGTAAGTCAATGGAACCAGACATCTTTGCAAGTCATTTTGGGTCGTTTCTTTTGGTCCATTTATCATGGAATTTCCACACATCGTAAAGAGCAACTGGCATTTTCAGATTATGTCAAAAACTGAAAAACAACAAAAATGGAGATACAAGGTTTTGTTCTGACACCAACATTATGCTGGCACTGTATTAGAGAGTTCCACCACCACCACCACTCAATTCTGCCTGAGCTTGACCTATTTCTGTAACCTCAGTGATGTATCATAATCAAATCCAGTGACAGCGTTACCACAAATGTGTGATGAAGGTCACACAGACAGAACAGCTTGAGCCTCACACCCTTTTCATCATATACATCATACTTATGCTGGCACTGTATCAAAGATTTCCACCATCATCACCCAAAACATCGATTCCTGCAGTTAAGACCAACAAGACATGGTGTACTGGGCCTCAGGCCAGGGTGAGACACTCCACTGACTGAGAACACATCAAGTTAAATATGAACGTCATACCAAAAAAAACAGGTCAATGTTCCAGCACAATATTTACTATGGCTGGCTTTACGCAGTGAAATATTCATGCACAAAGTTGCATGTTGTGAGTTACATGCAACATCACTTCCATACTGGAAAAAAATGGTATCTTGTCAAGTAAAACTATCTAAAATCTAGTCAATAAATCTAATATTTCTCCTGAGATTGTTGTGAGCGTATTTTAAGATTATTTAACTTATGTTTTAAGTGATTTTATTAAGTAAAATTATCTCACTATATGAGAAGCACATGCACTCTCAGCCTGACATGACCGCCAGCCTACTGATGACGTCACTGCCGCTCTGCCACGACTGTGTTTTTGTTGGTTTTATGAGGAAAAACAGCGAACCACGAACTGCTGGG